GTTTCCCTTCCCTTCCCTCTTTTTTTTTTACGATTAAATTTAAAATTTAAAGGAAAGGAAATTTTTTTTTTTTTGTACATTAAACGGAAATGAGAATTTTTCGTTTTTTTTTTTTTTCCTACAAAGGGATCGAGGATAGATACCAACATAAAAAACATGCACGAAAAAAAAAAAAAAAATTTGAGTGGGGAAAAGCGGAAGTGCGTCACTGAATTGCAAAAAAAATAATAATAAATAAATAAATATATATAAAAATTTTTTTTATCGAGTCCAATTTTTTCTTTGCCAATTCAACATTATTTATTTATTATTTAAAATTTTTATGTATAACAATTATTATTATTATTATTTTATATAAATGTGTATAAAAAATAAAAACCGAATGATTCGTCCGTAGCATTTTTTGTATTTTTTAAGCATTTTTTTTAGTAAAAGTTAAAAAACATTTTTTTTATATTTTTTTTAAACTATAAATAGTGAAACCGTAAAAAAAAACAACGATGATAAAAATAATAGGAAAAAGGCGGAAAAACTACAGAAAAATTATTATTATTATTATTATTATCATTATCATCATTCGTAGAGAGGAAAAAAAGAAAAAAAAACGGACAATGAAATGACATCAAGGGAGTTATTAACTTTTTTTCATCTCCCTCTCTCTCTCTCTTTGCTAAAAAAAAAAAAAAAAAAAAAAAAAAAATTCGTTTTTTTTTATTATTTAATTTTTTCCCGCGACATCTCGTCCGCCATTTTGTTTTTTTTTGTTTATATTTCACCATATATATATATATATATTTATTTACTTTTTTTTTTCGTCCGACTTTTTTCTCCGTTATCATCGACGATTTCACGCGCAATTTTAATAATAATAAAACTATTATTATTATTATTATTATACGTACGATAATAATAATAATAATAATAATAATAATAATAATAATGACGAATAACCGAGAGAGAAAAATAAAAAAATTATTTTTAATTCTTTTTTGTTCAGAAAAAAAAAAAAAAAATTTATATAACAATAAAAAGTTTTATTTTTATTTTTTTTTCAAAGTCTGGAATTTTCCCTTTTTTTTCCAGAGTCTGAAATTTCCCCCCCCCCTCCCCCGCTTTTTTTTATTTTTCGTAATTAAATTATTTTTATAATACGACACAAAAAAAAAAATATATATATATATAAAACCAGGTGTTTTCTCTTATTATTATTATTATTATCATTATTATTATTTTACCGGTATCATTTTATAGTTAATAATATAGCGCTATAATAATACTAATAATTATTATTATTATTTTTTTTAATAAATACTTTTTTAATGACCGCGATATTTTTAATTTAAAAAAAAAATAGTAATAATAGAAAACTATAATTATTATTTATTATAAATGTAATTTATTATTATTATTATTATTATTATTATTATTATTATTATTAACGAAAAATTT